CACAGACTTGAGTTGCTTGCTGTTGATGGCTATTTTAACCAAATGTCAGGAAGAAAAACTTGCACTAGGGAGAAAACAGTCTCTGGAGTTTAGAATGCTGGTATGAAATCCTGACCATAACTTTTCTCCTTGGCTGCTTTCTTCCAAGTGTAAGATGGGCAGTGGATCAATGTGCTGGAGTTGGACAACGTTGAGGCTTGGGACATGTGTGGTATTTTTGTAGGACATACTTGGTGGTTTTGCATATCCATGTGCTGTACTTGGAAAGGAAAGCAAGTCAAGAGCCCAGTCTCTCTTCTCCCTTTGCATTAGTTTCTTCAGCCTGTCCTGGGACTCTCCTTGCTGCCTGTTTAACTTCAGGGAGAATTTTGCTCTTTGTGTCTTTCTGCCCTCCTGAAGTCATTCGGGAGCAGTTTCCTCTAGAGACATAAATTCCTATTACTTGTGGACTTCCTGCTGTACACTAGATTTATGCACTGTCCAAAATGAAACTTACTGCATCACATTAGTATTTTCTTTTGCATATTTAGATTCTCAGAACCTGTGATTGCCATAGTTAAAATAATTGAAAATAGTTGACGCAAGCGTCTGGAGTGCTCTTCGGCCACTGAAGTAGCACTGGAATGGTTCTGGATTCTCCTGGTAACAGCCTTCCAGGTGTTTTCAAATCCACACACCCAACTGTTGGTGAAAACCTGTCAGTTCCTCTCTCCTTCATCCCCTTGGAGTTCTGTTTATAGTCATTTTTTTCCAATATATGAGCCTACATTTTTTTTTACATGAAGAAAAGGAATTTGCAGCATTCAAAATATTCCCACTTCTGACACAGAAATGAAATGTGTTCTGAAATTGTTTTCTTGAAATAAATGATCTGTCATTGACTGTGAGATGAAGATGTCTCAAGTGGATCTTTTGTGAAGTAAAAAAAACAGTGAAAATACTTTCATCTTTAGTGCTACCCTTAGGTTACTAGTCTTCCTCCTCCCACTGATGTTCTCTGCATTAGCTCCAATTGGCTATTTTTTCTGTTTGTCCAGAATATTGCCCAAACCTGTTTTTTATCATTTATTTCAATTCTAATTGGTTTTATTTCAGTTTTTAAACAGCATAATCTTATTAAATTGGAAAATACTATTCTCTGTTTCCTTCTAATATTTGCAATGCAGTATCTTTACCTTATGTTGTAACTTTCCCATCTCTCTTTTGGGACCATTCTGCTTTCTCTTTTGTGCTTTTCTGTTCCGAGCTCCTTGTTTTCTCTACACATGGGTTAAGATCTGGAGGAGTTTACCCTCAAAATGTTGGGCTGTTTGAAAGGCTGTTCAGAGACATTAACTTTTAAGTCACCTTAAAAATAAGAGCGCTTTAACAGGCCAGACAGTAAGGTTTGCTATTCCTGCTCAGAAAGAAAAGCTGTTTTTTTGTGTTCCTTGAAATTGCCCTGTAAGTTGCACAGAGTACCAGTGCTGTCCTATTAATTGCTATTTGGCAAACATAATACTGTAGCGTAGGTACTGTTAAATGGGGAGTGAGGTCTGGTACACAAACGTCTTGGTATTAGCAGAAGTGTTATGTGCCTGAGATGCACATGCTTCACCTATGGCAATAAACTGTGTTTACTTTTTTCCTGCAAACGCAAAAGCCAAGTGGGAAGGGATATTTAATAAACCCAATGCTATTGTGTCCTCTGGTCTAAGCCATAAAACAAGAGTAGCAGAGAAGTTCGCTTTGAACTTGAAATCCCTTTCTAAGCTGCTGATCTAACCTCAGTGTGAGAGAGAGACGACTCCAGTCAAAAAAACTCCTCTTCTGGATATTTCCCTCCCACTCTGTGCACCCCTTCCCCTCATTAAAAAAAAAAAAAAAAAATCTTGAGTTTGATGCTGCACCTCTGCCCATAAATTTAAAAAAATATTATCGTAATGTAGGTCAGTGAACTGAAACGCCACCGTACACCGTGGGGGATTAAAGTCAGGGAGGCAGCCCTCTCCCACTCCCACTAGGTCATATGACAATATAAACAAGAAATGCAAGGAGCCTTCAGCTTTTTCTTGCCTTAATCCTTTGTTTATGCAGCACTTAAACTGACTTTTGGGGTCGTCTCTGTCTGGCATTAAAGCCCTAAAGCTTTTTGAAGTTTCCCTGAAGTTAATAAAATTAGTCTGCCCTCATTGCTAGGCCCCTTGTTGTTGCTTCAGAACAGGCTACATCTCCCGTACTGTCTTTGTGGCATTTGACTTTTTAAGTTAATAATGTTTTATAAAAAAAAAAAAAGGGAGCGTATGAGAGAAGCAGAAAGATCTCCCAAAAGACCATTCACTTAATAGGCAAAGCGATTGCTATTGTAGATGCTCTGAGAACTTGAAGAGCTTTAACTTAAAATCCAGCAATTGGAGGTAAATTGATGGTAAGGTAATTGGAAGTGTTGAGTTTTGATTGAGAGAACAACCCATGTTTATGTAGCTTTCTACAAAAAAAAAGAAAACCTAAAAAAAAAATCTTTTATTATAAAACTCTTACAGTTGAGAAGATGAGGACTTCTTCATAGGAATTACCTGTGAGTTCTACCTCCTTCACTCATTTATTTTACTGCAGAGACTCATCAGTTATCACAGTTCCTGTTACAGCTGATGTTCTCTCATTTAGTTGTCCTTGGTGTTACACTGGGGTGTGTGTCTGTCTGTGTGTGTATTATTTACTGCAGGGGACTGAAGCTCCAGGACATGAAGGTTTGGTTTCTGACTGCCACTCAGCTTACTGATTTCCTATTATCTTACAGCTGTTAAAGCAATATTTATTTTTCCCCAAATAGCCTTTTGAAATACAAAAGGAATAATGTTGGTATGTTGGATGGAATGGAATATTAACAATCAGCTAGAGGAGGACTTTTCTTACATGCTGACCAGCCCAATGAAAGGAGCAATGCAAGTGACTTCCTTGTCCCAGGATATTTGCAATTGCAGTGCTGGGCATGGCATGCAAGTGCAAGACCCTAAGAAGAACATTTTATTTTAAGAGGAGTCTAGGTGTTTTGTTTTAAAGCATTAAGTGAGTCTGACACTTCAATGGTAACTTTTATTATTATCATATCCATTTACCTCAGTTTTTCATTGTTGGTTCACTCAAATACCTGCTGTGTACAACACTCGTTCACAGAAGTTGCTCTGAATTTTTTTTTTGACGGTCCTGTGAGAGAGGCAAAACTGAACCATCTTAATAAAACTACTCACCTTACAGTTCAGGTTCTTAATTAAAGGAGAGCTTTGATGGTCCTCTGTGTGTGTATTGTGGGTTATGATCTTCCTGTTCCATTTGGGGGATGACTAAGGTAATAAGAGGTATGTGGAGAAATCCTTACGGAAGTATAAGAGACTGCTTGCGTTTCAGTTACTTGGAATGAGAAGCAAATAGCAAGCAGTGGAGAAGAGGGATGTTCAAACTGTTCTAGGAATAATGACTTATAGGTGCAGGTCACTTATATGTGAGCAGTTGATATGATTGGAAAAATGACACTTTTTGAGACCAAATGCTCTCCCAAGTCAGAGCGAACAGCTAGGCTTGTGTTGCATCCTCAAAGAAAGGCTTATGCAACTGAAAGCTTTATTTTCTTCCAACTATATCAGTTGCTTTAATAAAAATACTAGTTTAAATTTTAAAGCCAGGGATTGCCAAGAGTATTGCCATTAAGAGCTGACAAGCTCTATTTTAGTTCCTGTATGTGGTTAGGGGGGTGCTGGTGCGGCCGGTCCTCTGTGTTACTGCATGATCCTTTTGAGGATGATTATAGCTGAATAAGTGAACCCTGCTTCAGACAAATACAAGATTTAACTTACAATACTAGATTTAATGTTATGCTATGGACTGATCAAGTCTTTTGACATGGAAATATAGGCATAACTATGTAACTTTTTAAAAAGTTAGGAATTTGAGTCTGTAAAACAACTACAGTTTGTGGAAGAGGGTTTAGGAAAGGAGGATCACTGCAATGTGTAGAGTCATCCTTTAGACTGAATAAAAGGAGTGTTCAGAATCTGTTGCAGCTCTTGACTGTTATTCATGGTAACTTTGCTCTTTGAAGCTCTAAAGTTAGCTACAAATTGTTTCTAAGATGTGAGGAAGAGAATAGCAACTTTTGTCAGAAGGAAAAATCACAGAAAAATTTAAGTATTATCATTTCTGATAAGTAAATAAAATCTCTTGCAGTATTTACACAATGGAGTAACTGCAGGTTTTAAGCAAACAAGGATGTTCCGGCCTGTAGCATCGGGCTCACCTGACTGCACCGTGTGCTTCGTAAGGCCCGCGGGAGGATAGTCCCATCTTGCCCTGCCCACCAACCCTGCTGCCCCTGCATCTGGCACCTTCATTAAGGACTCGCATGTGTGACCTTCCCTCCTGCTGGGGGACAAACCTTGAAATTAAAATCGGATACAATGGTCCTAGGTTTTTAGTTTAACAAATCTGTGTGTGTGTGTAAAGGTGACTTAAGATTTAAAAAAAAGGTTTAAAAGGTTGTATTTAGAAAATGAGTAATTCCATCACCCCTTTGAAAGTGTAGTTGTTTGAACACATTTCTGGAGTTGAGAGACAAAGAATATTTATATAGGAGATAATGCCCTTGCTGATGGAATGAATGGTGAAATGAACTTTGTGTGTATGTTAGTACTTAAGTGCCTTTCCCAGAAAGATTTTAAAGCAAATAACAGATTTTAATTAACCATTTGTGGCATCACATTTGAGGTGCATTTCATTTTCTCCATATTGTAAAAAAGGAGATAAAAGCAGAAATAAATTCCTTTAGCCTGCTCTAGCTGAGGATACAAATTTTATTTAAGCCTGAGCTGTTCTAATCTAATCTAATACTCTTTGTTCAGTAGTGGGTAAATGGTTTTTCAAAGACAGAGTGGTGAAAGTCACCAAACTGTAGTGCATCTCATAGGTGTAATTTTTCATGTCACTTTAAGCTGTAGTAGACTCATGAAGTCATATTTCTTTTGCAGGTGATGGATGATTACAGTGTGATTGGTCGTTCACTGTTTAAAAAGGAAACAAACATCCAAATTTTTGTGGGTCTAAAAGTCAAACTATCGACAGGAGAAGATGGAGTAATAGAAGGTGGTTTTGGACAAAGCGGCAAATTTAAAATCCGAATTCCAGGTAGGTGCTCGTTCTTCTATGAACAGACATAAATCTGTGTCAAATGTAGAGGATCTTTCCACACTGCAAGTCTGGATATATCCAGTAGTTTCCTAAAGGCTGTGGCATCAGCTCACACTGTGTAGACAGTGAATATTTGGTGGATCATACCTCCTTTAATTAAATCATGGTGGTTATGACTCAATGAGATTTAGTGACCTGAAGCCATGTCTGCCTATAGGCAAACGTGGGTCTAAAAAGGACTTCTGCTTAAGTATTGGTAACAGGAATAATGCTGTGTTCAGGAAAGGCTTGTGGAAATCTCTGCTTTTAAAGGATGTGTGGTTTTCAACAGAGCCTTCCTGAGCAGGTGAAGTTAAACAAACCTGTTTTTACTTATAGCTACTTATTAAATACAACATTCTGCTTGTAAGTTCCTTAGGTTCACTCTTCTGCATGTTATTACCTTTCTTGCCTTCAAGCAGAAACTGCAAATGAAGGAGCTTTTCAGGATCTCAAGGGTTTTTTATGGCTTGTGTCTTCTTGTTTTGTAATTTTATGCAGCACTGTATTTTTAATCTTTGATGAACTGCTGTAAGGATTTCTGCCTTCTTAGCTTGGAGCACAGGGAATGATTGGTGCTGGACTTCATAAGAGGTATCACTGCTGTTGGTTTTTGCTTTACTGTTGAGAATGGAAAGTTATTTTGCTCCTCTGAATAGTGATGGTAAGTGCTGCATTTACTGCAGATTGTAGGATATTTCAACAATGCTAGTAGCATAATGCTAGTAGGACTTTGCATTTCTCTAGTGTTTTCAGCACAGTTAATCCTCCACTCCTCCTGGGCAGTTGAGCAAAACTACCCCTGTAGCACTGGGGAGAAAAGGAAGCGCAATGTTGTGTGGCAGCGAACAAGCACCAACTGACCTAGAGAGGAAACTGTAGGTTCCTGATTTCTGGCCAAAGATGGACAATTCTCTATTTGACTTTGGACTTCTGGTTGCAAATGTATTAAATTTGGCCTTTAGCACAAATAGCCTTTTGAGTTGTCGGTCAGAATTTCTGGCTAAGCAAAAAGCTCCTGTTTTCTCTCCAAGATGCAGTAATTCCAGTTTTGTCACCAAATGGCAGACTTTATAAGTTGAGCTGAAAGCCCATTACCAGACACAATGCTTATTTAAAGAAACTGCACTGGATTTTTTTCCCTGATGTGGGAAAGCTTTGTTATTTCATTTCATTTCTCTATTGTGAAAAAGCTTTTAGATGTTTGCTAAGATGGGTAGCTTCCAGTAGGTGGTGAAATAGTGTGTGAATGGGCTGCCCCGTTGGAAGCCGTTTAGGCTGAAAACCAAGATGAGACCTTTAAAAACGTAGCATTTCTGGTAATTTTGCTTTTACAGTGATGGTGGACTGAGCAGCTGGCAGTTTTGTTGCTCATGCGGGAAGATACTGAATTGAGCAGACTCTTCCCTTTGTGGATAGGGAGGAGCCTCATGAGGAGGAGTCTTTCTTGTTGTTGATGCAAGAAGGAGCTAGAACTGTGAACCAGCAGCTCTGTAAGGAAATAGCACTCAAATTTAGAAAATGGATTTTTAGTTTTCAAGCTGAGTTAACATAGAAAGAAATTACGCATTTTACCAAGCTGTTCCCTATCTAATCCTGTGTTTTCCTGGTGTTCCTGATGAAACAGAGGGCCCTTTATAGTGTCTGCTCATCCAAAGAGAAGACTATGCAGAATATTGGAACTTAGTATTTCTATAAAGTAGGCAGAATAATGTAACTTTGATTTTTCTTTAGCCTAGATCAAATTTGGATGCTTTAACTCTCTAGAAAGAAGGGGCAATAAGTTAAATTGGCTCACTCAGATGTCTAGCAAAACATGGTTAGGAGGGAAAAATCACGGAATTTGGAAGGGTCTAAATAGCTGTTTCTTTAAGAGTTAGGAAGATTTGTGTGTAGGGGGAGGGCTATTGCTGTGATGCTGTTTAAGTCAACTGCAGTTCACATTCCTTTGTTAGGTCAGTGTTGCTTTTTTAATGCGTCTGCATCCTGTTTGTGGGTTTTCTTTCTTTATATATTACATTTAACTGATCTGATTCTTCTTTCCCTCTCCCCTATTCTTCAGCTTGGTTCCACTCATTTTCTGTTTTACAGGTTTCTTTTGTGAAGAAGTCTTTCTTCTCTCTATATACGTGTGTGTGTGTATATATATATATATTTACTTTTGGTAATTCCTTCACAACTATATCAGAGAATGGGAGGGAAGGGAAGGAAATGTGCAAGTTGAAACTGCCTTAACTGCCTCAGCCTGGCAGTCAGTCAGTCTCGTCTTACTTAAAACCAGCCTTAACCTCTTGAATTGAATAGCTTGTTTAGGTAGTTAACCTTAGGATAGCTGAAGGCTGCTTTTACTGTTTGCAGATGTTCCTCTAAAAATCAGGTAGACGTATTGGAGACACGTACCTGGGCTGTTGCAGGCCACACGTTGCAGCATCGTCCAGGGGTTGTTCTGATACCGTTGCTAGTGGCCACAGCCTCGAGCACCACGTTTGCTCCCACGAGGACGTGCTGCGGTCTCCACGCGTTCCCTCGTCACTGGGGAATGGCTCATTTCACTGTAGACCTCATTTGGAGGATCTTGTGTGTGTTGTTTTCTGTGGGCTGAAACTTGGCAGACCTTGGAACCGGGAATGATGGAACACAGGATCTGCTGCTTTTTCTGGCTCTGCTTGTGTGTAACAGTAATTAAGATACTCTCTGTTCAGTAAAATGGGGCTAATTATCTGTTCTGGAAAAAAAAAAAAATCATGAAACCCCTGATTAGTTTTATTTTACAATTGGAGCATTGATATGTCTTGAAAGGGTTCAATTATCTTCTTTTAGAGTTAAAACAAACAAAAAAAGTGTCTAGAACACAGCATGCAATTAGAAGCTCCTCAGCCCCAGAAAGATGTCAGCAGTTTGGAAGAAATTCAAGGAAGAGCAACAAGAATGCTGAAGAGACTGAAGGGATTGATTTATGAGGGAAAGCAGATGAAAAGAAGCGCATGAAACTTGGCTAAATGACGTTTAAGTGGGAGATACTATTATCTGAGAGTACTTGAAGAGCCTAATGGAGCAAAATCCCTTCGGGTGGTCTAAGGAGGTAGAACCAAGGCTAAGTGCATGATACAAAACCAAGTGTAGCTTGCTTATTGAGAGATGTAACCTAGCAGAGATGTCTGGCACTGCAGAATCAGCTTTGCAGAGGAAGATGCTCAAGTTCTGTGTTTAGAGTACTCATACAGAGTTCAGTGTAGGTGTTCAGGAGTGTCTGTTTGAGGGTAAAAGAAAAAAAAAAACCCAAGGATAGTGGTAATGGGAAAAGCAGTGTATGTTTGTTCAGGTAAACTTGAATTGCCTGAATGACGAGAGAGAACTTTTGACACTCTTTACAGTGCTATCTAATTTTAAAAAATATGAGTATGTGTGTGTGGCAGCATGTTAGCTGGCACATCTGCTACTCTGTAGAGCTGCATTGTGGAGCTATTTATGCTCTAACAGAAGAAAAAGTTTCAAGATGTATTGCTTTACAAAATAGTTTAGTTTTCAGATTAGTTTTGTCAAATGCATAAAAAGGGGACATAAGCAGAGCTCTTGTGAATTTACAGCTTAAACAGAATTTAAAAGAAAATTTAAAAATCCCTGCTTTGCCAGTTTGCAAGTGTGTATGAGCCACGAATGGAGCTCATCTCGTTGAGATGGGTGATCTGTAGCAGCTGAGAGTGGGGGCGCTGCGTTTTGCAAGTCTGGTGAACGAGTGGGAAGCATCATTCACCTTCCAAGTCCCGGACCAGTTTGGGAAGACTGAAGCTGTGTGTTTAAATGTCTTATTCTTTTAAAAGCTAACAATAACCATCACTGGAAGATGGTTATTTCAATGTGTTGCACATAGGATTCTCATGCGAGTTAAGAAATTCACAGAAAAGTTCAGTGAGTCATTGAAGTTTTCGATCAGTGCTGCTTTTGTAAATCACTTGTCTGATACTTTACCCTGTCAAACCTCACTAGCTTGCTCTGTCAGACTCGGTTTGGTTTGCAAAATAGTCATCTGATTTGGTGAGTCTCATGACATCGCTTAACCCATTGGCTCTAGCTGTGCCGGTTGCATTGGTTCCTGTGGGTTGTTTGTCTTGTTTGTTGTAAAATATAGCAGCTTTGAAAATCTAATTGGGACATACATGATCTCAGGCACAGTTCGCTTTCCTTTCAGACTTTCCTTATCTAGTTTTTAGTAAAGTATTCATCCTTTCTGTTGCACTGTAGTGTGTTTGACTGCAATTTTTTGCTACTGTTCTTGAGTTCAGTACACTAAAAAATGCTATACATGAGATGTGCTAAAAAGCTACATTATTTCCTAATGCGAAAGAAGTGGTGCATATCTAACAATTCATAACAGTTCAGCTCATTTCTGAATTGAGCGAATTTAAATGTAATAAAATGCACACTCCTCACAGGCGGAGATACAAGTGAGAAAATTGGAATGGGTGCTTTTTTACTTTGGAATTGTTCATACCTGTTCGTGATAATGGTAGTCTTTAAGTTTCTTAAAACAGGTGAAGACAAACTTGTTTGTGACCGTCTCTATTGTGCCAGTTTTATAGTGTTCCATTTATAAGTGCGAGTGCATATATGAGAGCAAGTCTCTTTTCACTGCTTTTCCTTCTTGAAGCGCTGAATGTATCACGGAAGTCAGCTCTTGACTCGTAGTGTTGTTCTTAGTTCAGGGGTCGCAGGGCCTCGGGGATCTTGCAGTGTTGGTATAAGATGATGTAAAGTACAATGAATTAACCAACGTGCTTTTGTTCTTGAGACACGCTCATTTTTACATGAAATTAAGGATAGAAATAGTAACTATTATTTATTTCCCCTCTTTTTTCTTAATGTATTGAGGAGGAGTTGTGTCTTCAGAGTGGTATTTCTGTATCTCAAGATCTGTATCTTGAAGATACCTTCAGATACAGATGAACTTCAAACAGTCA